ATACAAATGTATCCTGGACTGTTCAGTAATCAATGTATATAATAAAGTGAACTTTTTTAGACACAAATTATTGTGAGTTGGTAAGTCAGTTTTATAGTTGTTGTTGATTGTTGGGGAAAGTTAATTTGTATTCAGTTGTGTTCAGTGCTTTCTGTTATATCTAATGGCATCTCCTTCATTTTAGGTGCACTTCTTTAACAGTTTCTTTTATGACAAGTTGAGGACCAAAGGTTATGATGGAGTGAAACGGTGGACAAAGAATGTAAGAAAATTCATAAGAACAGCATTTATTTGCAATACATTATAAATGTCTTTACTTTTGATAAATTGAATGCAACCTTGCTGCATTATCTGTAATTTCTTAAAAAGAAAAATCTTACTGACCCCACACTTTAGAAGTTTATGATCTTCTTATGTACATAACATAATCATGTACTAATTAATGATTAATTTATTTGGGTCCATTCTTTAGTAATAATCCTTAAAGCAAATCAGCAGAACTATGATTTTATTAATAAAAGTACAAACATGTTTCAGGTGGACATCTTCCAGAAGGATCTGTTGTTGATTCCCATTCATTTAGAAGTGCACTGGTCACTGGTCTCGGTTGATATTAAACAGCGCTTCATCACGTACTTCGATTCTCAGCGAACCCTTAATCGCCGCTGCCCCAAAGTAAAAGCCCTACAAAAAATATTGTTTTATGCACAGTCAAAAACTTCTTTAAAAGCTATAAAATTTCTTTAAAGTTGTGTGTAATGTCTAAAACATTAGATAAAAAATTAATTCTTAACCTTTGTTTTTGTGTTTGTAATTTATCTCAGCTAAGTGACATTTTTTCTCTCCACAGCATATTTTTAAATACCTTCAGGCAGAAGCCATGATAAAAGAGAAGAGAGACTTTTGCACAGGGTGGAAAGGTTTTTTTAAAATGGTGAGACCAGTCACTGCAGTGACTGTTACCATAAATTGCTACTTGACTTTTTTTGTAATGTCTAATGTTGTTCAGTTGTTTGATTGACAATTATTAGAGCCTCTCTTTTTTTTTTGTTACAGAATGTTGGCAGACAGAATAATGACAGTGACTGTGGTGCATTTGTCCTGCAGGTATATATACACCAACTTCATTCTGAAGTTTTATGGGTGGTTGATAAGAATCAGATTAACTGACTCAGTACTGTACATTTATAGCAGTTTATCCAGAGTAAAATCCATTAAGCTCTATTAAAAACCATAAAGCATTTGTCAGAACATATGTTGTTTGAGATGTCTTTTCATCAATTACACACAAAAGGTTTACCTCTTATTTCTCTCTTTATTTTCTCCACCTCTTCTTTAGTATTGCAAGTGTCTCGCATTGGGTCAGCCCTTCAGCTTCAGTCAACAAGACATGCCCAAACTGAGGAGACTTATGTACAAAGAACTGTGTTATTGCAAGCTCTCACTGTGATATTTGTCTAAAGACTGCACAGCCAGTGGAGAAAAATATACATTTGTCCAAATGGCCTGAGAGACTTCACACTGAGGATATTTCATCCTCGCTCACTTTTATTTTTATTTTGTATAACTTTTTTTGTTTGGTTTCGTACTGGAGCCCAACATCTTGCCTGAGAGATCTGAGGTGATTTACGGTCGACAGCCTGTCTTGCCCTTGTGACATATTGCCTAAAAGGAACACTCTGTTTCAGATTTTGCTTTTGTTCTGTGCATAAAGATGTTGCTGATCCGAAATGTTGGCATGAGGGTATCTGTGCTCTAACTCAAGTGACAAATCATGTCTGCAGTTTTGTTTTTAATAAATCATCTTATGAAAATAATGATCTGTGTATTCATCGGAACACTTATTATTCTGTGAGTCACGTTGCAATTAATGATAACATGATATTATGAAATGGCCGGGATTTATAATGAAGTGGTGTTACTGAATCAACGTGTCAGTGAGGTATTCTCAGGTTATGCTGTGTTCACCCTTATTCAAACTGGAAATGATACCAGTAAGCTGGTTTTTCCTCAAAGCATATTTGTATGGACTATTAAATGACCCACTAGCAACACAAGCTGTGAATCATAAATGACTCACTTGCAACGTTTATGTACAGGAAAACAGCTCTTGGGTAATAAGGGAAGAGTTACTTCTGGCTGTATTTTCTAGAAGTGAGCAAATTAGAATTTGACATAGGAACAAGGTTTTTTTATTTACTTTTTTTAATTCCAGTACAGTTAGCAACAGCTCGAAAGCAAAAATAAATAAATTAGTAAGACACACATTAACATAATGAAAGTACTTTTACAGTCTATTCAAATCCAATTAACAAATACGTCCTCATAGCTCATATATTGTTACTTCAGTCACTTTCACATTTTATTTAAATATGTATAATAACCTCAAATTTTAGGGATGAAAAAATGGTTTACACTTTGCAAATTAATTGTTATTAATTTAGTTATTTTACTCATTAAAACAGGTCATTTAAAAAAAAGTATATTCTGGAAAACCAAACGTCAAATTTCTTAGAGAAAAGGCAAAGTTGTGGTTTAACTTCAAGCTAGGATTTTTCGTGACGTCTCAAACAGGCGCTTATAATAGGGCGGTACCGATCGTTTCTGAACCAATGGGAAGTCACGCTGGGCGGGTGTATAATCTGACTGAACGGGACGATGGCCAATCAATGAGAGCTGGTTGTCGTCACGGTTTAAGTATTTGCGCGTTTCCGCCAGTCCTCAGTCCTTTGTGATAATGTCGTCTGAACATGAAGATAGGTAAGATAACGTGCTCGAAGAGTCTTTTCCCCCGTTTGTGTAAATGGTTGCCGTTCACTTTAAATGTTCAGCCAGTGTCGTTGATTTCACCTGATTTGTTTGAAAATATAGAATATTTGTCTTTCATCAGCGATTCAAAAGCTAACATTATCAGCCGGTTTGGTACGTTCGTTCTTTATGGTTCCCGCCTCGTTGAAATGTTTTAGGAAAGTGTTTTTTTCACCAGGTAGTGTAAGCACCAGTCACTTTGTTTTAACGTTATATCCGTAATGTTTGTTGGAAAGTCTTTTAAAATGGGTTTTGTAACGTTTACTCGACGTTCCGTTAGAATGCCGGTTCTTGTGACGCAACGTGTCTCACGCGCTCGTTCAGTTCCTCGTGTGACCGGCGCGTGCATGCGGCACATGGTCGCTCCCTTCTCCTCATTTTAAGCCGATTACCTACATTTTAAAGATTTGTTGTAATATACTTTACGTGAGAACTCCGTATCTGGTGCCATGTAGTAATAAAAATGGGATTCGTTAGCAGATGTAGGCCTGAAAATGAGAAATTATGTAGGGCACATGGCCTTTCCTGGGCGAGACAATGGAGTGGTCTGGCAGTGTAGGCCCAAGGCCTATCCTCAGCTAGGCCTTGGGCCTATCCTCAGATAGGCCCAAATATAATATAAATTGATAGAACTTTTTATTTTATTAATTATTTAAGAAAAGAGGAAGCAATGTCGTCGTTGAAAAGTTAACTAGTATTACTGTATGTCTAAAAATAAATGTCGTCATGTATTGGTATAATACTGTGGTGACGCACATGTTAATTTTATATCGCTTTTTATAAAATCCTACATTTTAATGATCGATTGTTACCGACGCGTCATTGTGAATTAGTGGAGCCACGTTGATAATGGCGCTCAGCGAAAATGGCTGCCACATTTTACGACGAAGTTACGATGTCTGTTTAAATTAAAACTAACGCAGTTTTATCGGTGTTGCCGATGATTACGATCAAAATCGTCATCCAAACCGGTGTGACGTTTTCCCTGTGGACCCAAAAGAAAACGTTAGACAGCATGATAGGTCACTGTTCACTTTCATTTTATGGAAAATTATCTAATGAAAGTGAACGGTGACTGAGGCTGTCATTATACTTTTGTGTTCCATAGAGCAAAGTCACGTGTTTAAGTAAGTTTTAGTTTTTGCGTGAAACTTCTCTTTTAAAGTAGGTCTTTTAGACATTTAACAATAGATGTGTAGGCAATTCCCCTGCACTAAAAGGGACTGGGTGTAGCAAATATTGGTTGGAATCCACTCAATCTACTGTTTAAAGGTATTGTGAAAATGTGCTCTTGGGTTTTTTTTTTTTTTAAGTTCACAACTGTGAATGTGAAATTAGTTTTACATAAAAGCTATACTAATTACAACGTTTTGTTTCAGAACCAGAGACAATGGCCCTGAGGGGATGGAGCCAGATGGCGTAATTGAGGTTGGTGTCTCATAAGAGCCATTTCACATACAGTATAAGCATTGGTGTTTTTTTTTTTTTTAAACCACCTTTAATTGTATTGATAACAGGTGAGAACCATTACTGATTCAGGCTTGTTGTAGCACTGTACAGGTTGGTGCTTTTCCATAGAGGAAAGTGTAACAAACTGTAAGAAACCTTTCCAAAAAGGAAGTTTTATAAGCATGTCCCCTATTAAATGGGCAAGGCTGTGTCTGTCAGTGACACAAAGTCCTATATCTGTTAGGGGCAGAGCAAATGAAGGCCATATTCATCCCAGTCAGCTCAATACAGTGAGAAAAAGACTGTTTCATGGTATGGGCACAGATACTTGTCAAAGCTTGTATAGCGTTGATCCCTCTTTATGTTAGGAATTAATTACATGGGAATGGCAGAGTTCTCTCTCACTATATATATTATGTGCATGCATGGTTTTTCCTCAGTCTTTTTTTTATTTATTTATTTTACAGAGCAACTGGAAGGAGATTGTTGATAGTTTTGATGATATGAACCTGCGAGAAGCTCTTCTCCGAGGAATCTATGCTTATGGTTTTGAGAAACCTTCTGCCATTCAGCAGAGGGCAATTCTCCCTTGTATCAAGGGTATGTAAAACTCAATTTCTTAAATAGTCTCTGTGTTTTAGTCACTTAATGGAGTCATAAGATCAGTTTATTCATGCCCTTATCAATTGGGCAGGGCAGTGTCTGTCAGTGATATTAATAAAAGTACAAACATGTTTCAGGTGGACATCTTCCAGAAGGATCTGTTGTTGATTCCCATTCATTTAGAAGTGCACTGGTCACTGGTCTCGGTTGATATTAAACAGCGCTTCATCACGTACTTCGATTCTCAGCGAACCCTTAATCGCCGCTGCCCCAAAGTAAAAGCCCTACAAAAAATATTGTTTTATGCACAGTCAAAAACTTCTTTAAAAGCTATAAAATTTCTTTAAAGTTGTGTGTAATGTCTAAAACATTAGATAAAAAATTAATTCTTAACCTTTGTTTTTGTGTTTGTAATTTATCTCAGCTAAGTGACATTTTTTCTCTCCACAGCATATTTTTAAATACCTTCAGGCAGAAGCCATGATAAAAGAGAAGAGAGACTTTTGCACAGGGTGGAAAGGTTTTTTTAAAATGGTGAGACCAGTCACTGCAGTGACTGTTACCATAAATTGCTACTTGACTTTTTTTGTAATGTCTAATGTTGTTCAGTTGTTTGATTGACAATTATTAGAGCCTCTCTTTTTTTTTTGTTACAGAATGTTGGCAGACAGAATAATGACAGTGACTGTGGTGCATTTGTCCTGCAGGTATATATACACCAACTTCATTCTGAAGTTTTATGGGTGGTTGATAAGAATCAGATTAACTGACTCAGTACTGTACATTTATAGCAGTTTATCCAGAGTAAAATCCATTAAGCTCTATTAAAAACCATAAAGCATTTGTCAGAACATATGTTGTTTGAGATGTCTTTTCATCAATTACACACAAAAGGTTTACCTCTTATTTCTCTCTTTATTTTCTCCACCTCTTCTTTAGTATTGCAAGTGTCTCGCATTGGGTCAGCCCTTCAGCTTCAGTCAACAAGACATGCCCAAACTGAGGAGACTTATGTACAAAGAACTGTGTTATTGCAAGCTCTCACTGTGATATTTGTCTAAAGACTGCACAGCCAGTGGAGAAAAATATACATTTGTCCAAATGGCCTGAGAGACTTCACACTGAGGATATTTCATCCTCGCTCACTTTTATTTTTATTTTGTATAACTTTTTTTGTTTGGTTTCGTACTGGAGCCCAACATCTTGCCTGAGAGATCTGAGGTGATTTACGGTCGACAGCCTGTCTTGCCCTTGTGACATATTGCCTAAAAGGAACACTCTGTTTCAGATTTTGCTTTTGTTCTGTGCATAAAGATGTTGCTGATCCGAAATGTTGGCATGAGGGTATCTGTGCTCTAACTCAAGTGACAAATCATGTCTGCAGTTTTGTTTTTAATAAATCATCTTATGAAAATAATGATCTGTGTATTCATCGGAACACTTATTATTCTGTGAGTCACGTTGCAATTAATGATAACATGATATTATGAAATGGCCGGGATTTATAATGAAGTGGTGTTACTGAATCAACGTGTCAGTGAGGTATTCTCAGGTTATGCTGTGTTCACCCTTATTCAAACTGGAAATGATACCAGTAAGCTGGTTTTTCCTCAAAGCATATTTGTATGGACTATTAAATGACCCACTAGCAACACAAGCTGTGAATCATAAATGACTCACTTGCAACGTTTATGTACAGGAAAACAGCTCTTGGGTAATAAGGGAAGAGTTACTTCTGGCTGTATTTTCTAGAAGTGAGCAAATTAGAATTTGACATAGGAACAAGGTTTTTTTATTTACTTTTTTTAATTCCAGTACAGTTAGCAACAGCTCGAAAGCAAAAATAAATAAATTAGTAAGACACACATTAACATAATGAAAGTACTTTTACAGTCTATTCAAATCCAATTAACAAATACGTCCTCATAGCTCATATATTGTTACTTCAGTCACTTTCACATTTTATTTAAATATGTATAATAACCTCAAATTTTAGGGATGAAAAAATGGTTTACACTTTGCAAATTAATTGTTATTAATTTAGTTATTTTACTCATTAAAACAGGTCATTTAAAAAAAAGTATATTCTGGAAAACCAAACGTCAAATTTCTTAGAGAAAAGGCAAAGTTGTGGTTTAACTTCAAGCTAGGATTTTTCGTGACGTCTCAAACAGGCGCTTATAATAGGGCGGTACCGATCGTTTCTGAACCAATGGGAAGTCACGCTGGGCGGGTGTATAATCTGACTGAACGGGACGATGGCCAATCAATGAGAGCTGGTTGTCGTCACGGTTTAAGTATTTGCGCGTTTCCGCCAGTCCTCAGTCCTTTGTGATAATGTCGTCTGAACATGAAGATAGGTAAGATAACGTGCTCGAAGAGTCTTTTCCCCCGTTTGTGTAAATGGTTGCCGTTCACTTTAAATGTTCAGCCAGTGTCGTTGATTTCACCTGATTTGTTTGAAAATATAGAATATTTGTCTTTCATCAGCGATTCAAAAGCTAACATTATCAGCCGGTTTGGTACGTTCGTTCTTTATGGTTCCCGCCTCGTTGAAATGTTTTAGGAAAGTGTTTTTTTCACCAGGTAGTGTAAGCACCAGTCACTTTGTTTTAACGTTATATCCGTAATGTTTGTTGGAAAGTCTTTTAAAATGGGTTTTGTAACGTTTACTCGACGTTCCGTTAGAATGCCGGTTCTTGTGACGCAACGTGTCTCACGCGCTCGTTCAGTTCCTCGTGTGACCGGCGCGTGCATGCGGCACATGGTCGCTCCCTTCTCCTCATTTTAAGCCGATTACCTACATTTTAAAGATTTGTTGTAATATACTTTACGTGAGAACTCCGTATCTGGTGCCATGTAGTAATAAAAATGGGATTCGTTAGCAGATGTAGGCCTGAAAATGAGAAATTATGTAGGGCACATGGCCTTTCCTGGGCGAGACAATGGAGTGGTCTGGCAGTGTAGGCCCAAGGCCTATCCTCAGCTAGGCCTTGGGCCTATCCTCAGATAGGCCCAAATATAATATAAATTGATAGAACTTTTTATTTTATTAATTATTTAAGAAAAGAGGAAGCAATGTCGTCGTTGAAAAGTTAACTAGTATTACTGTATGTCTAAAAATAAATGTCGTCATGTATTGGTATAATACTGTGGTGACGCACATGTTAATTTTATATCGCTTTTTATAAAATCCTACATTTTAATGATCGATTGTTACCGACGCGTCATTGTGAATTAGTGGAGCCACGTTGATAATGGCGCTCAGCGAAAATGGCTGCCACATTTTACGACGAAGTTACGATGTCTGTTTAAATTAAAACTAACGCAGTTTTATCGGTGTTGCCGATGATTACGATCAAAATCGTCATCCAAACCGGTGTGACGTTTTCCCTGTGGACCCAAAAGAAAACGTTAGACAGCATGATAGGTCACTGTTCACTTTCATTTTATGGAAAATTATCTAATGAAAGTGAACGGTGACTGAGGCTGTCATTATACTTTTGTGTTCCATAGAGCAAAGTCACGTGTTTAAGTAAGTTTTAGTTTTTGCGTGAAACTTCTCTTTTAAAGTAGGTCTTTTAGACATTTAACAATAGATGTGTAGGCAATTCCCCTGCACTAAAAGGGACTGGGTGTAGCAAATATTGGTTGGAATCCACTCAATCTACTGTTTAAAGGTATTGTGAAAATGTGCTCTTGGGTTTTTTTTTTTTAAGTTCACAACTGTGAATGTGAAATTAGTTTTACATAAAAGCTATACTAATTACAACGTTTTGTTTCAGAACCAGAGACAATGGCCCTGAGGGGATGGAGCCAGATGGCGTAATTGAGGTTGGTGTCTCATAAGAGCCATTTCACATACAGTATAAGCATTGGTGTTTTTTTTTTTTTTAAACCACCTTTAATTGTATTGATAACAGGTGAGAACCATTACTGATTCAGGCTTGTTGTAGCACTGTACAGGTTGGTGCTTTTCCATAGAGGAAAGTGTAACAAACTGTAAGAAACCTTTCCAAAAAGGAAGTTTTATAAGCATGTCCCCTATTAAATGGGCAAGGCTGTGTCTGTCAGTGACACAAAGTCCTATATCTGTTAGGGGCAGAGCAAATGAAGGCCATATTCATCCCAGTCAGCTCAATACAGTGAGAAAAAGACTGTTTCATGGTATGGGCACAGATACTTGTCAAAGCTTGTATAGCGTTGATCCCTCTTTATGTTAGGAATTAATTACATGGGAATGGCAGAGTTCTCTCTCACTATATATATTATATGTGCATGCATGGTTTTTCCTCAGTCTTTTATTTATTTATTTTACAGAGCAACTGGAAGGAGATTGTTGATAGTTTTGATGATATGAACCTGCGAGAAGCTCTTCTCCGAGGAATCTATGCTTATGGTTTTGAGAAACCTTCTGCCATTCAGCAGAGGGCAATTCTCCCTTGTATCAAGGGTATGTAAAACTCAATTTCTTAAATAGTCTCTGTGTTTTAGTCACTTAATGGAGTCATAAGATCAGTTTATTCATGCCCTTATCAATTGGGCAGGGCAGTGTCTGTCAGTGACATTCTGACCTATATCTGGTAAGGGCAAATTAAATAAAGCCCATATTCATCCCAGTCAACTCAGTACAGTGAGGCATAGACTGTTTCATGGTATGGGCATAAGCTGGCTTGGTACTGTAAATTGTAACAGCCAGAGTAAAACTCCATGTGATTGATTGGGCATTTGTTAATTTTCTGCCTTTTTTTGTGTGTATGTAGGTTATGATGTCATTGCACAGGCTCAGTCTGGCACAGGAAAGACCGCCACCTTTGCTATCTCCATCATGCAGCAGATTGATGTGGACCTGAAGGCTACACAAGCTATGGTGCTGGCTCCTACCAGAGAGCTTGCCCAACAGGTGAGAACCATTACTCATTCAGGTTTGTTGTAGCACTTTGCATTCTGTGTCTCCAAAACCTCCAACAAAAAGGCAGAATCAGTACAAAGTGTGGCAAACACTTCAGTTTTATAAGCATGTCCCCTATTAAATGGGCAAGGCTGTGTCTGTTAGTGACACAAAGTCCTATATCTGTTAGGGGGAGAATAATTGAATGCCATATTCATCCCAGTCAGCTCAACACGGTGAGAAAAGACTGTTTCATGGTATGGGCACAGATACTTGCCAAATCTCTGATGATAAGATGATTGACTAGTCATTTTGCAGTGACTCGTGAGCACAGATGTTTTTTCAGATCCAGTTAAATGGAGTTGATCTATTTTAGTTATTGCTAAAATGTCTTTGTCTTCCTCAGATTCAGAAGGTGGTGCTGGCTCTTGGAGACTACATGGGGGCAACCTGCCATGCCTGCATTGGTGGCACCAATGTCCGTAATGACGTTCAGAAGCTTCAGGCTGATGTGCCCCACATAGTAGTTGGAACCCCTGGCCGTGTGTTTGACATGCTCAACCGCAGATATCTTTGTAAGTGCAGGTGACAATCACTTGTTTCAGTGGACTGTCTTAATTGAGACTTGTACTAGCATTTTCTCAACTACCTGTTCTATTAATTGAGTTTTTTCTTAACGGTTTAATAATCTGCATGGCAATGGCTTGAAATTACGACTTTCCCTTTTTCAGCTCCCAAATATATAAAGATGTTTGCACTGGATGAGGCAGATGAAATGTTAAGCCGTGGTTTCAAGGACCAAATCTATGAGATCTTTCAGAAGTTGGGCACAGATACTCAGGTGAGCTAATCCTTTTTGGTTTGATTTTCTTGGTACCCACACCAAGTCTCTCACCTACCAGCTTTCTGTGCTGTGATGGGAATCATGAACTTTGGTAGAGTAATGTAACTGCTCTCCACTATGATTGGGCTCATGGGTCCCTCTTCATGACTATTAAGCAGCTGACATTTTATATCCTAAATGCGTTTTTAATTGCTGTATATTTTAACTTCAAGAGATGAAAGCTGGCATAGCAGTAAATTGTCTGTCTTGGTCAAATCTACTGCAATAGGATGATCACGGTGACTGTAAATTTACCTTTTCATGTTATGGGCATGTTCAGGTTGTGGTTAGTGTTAACTCATTTTGTAAGCTGTAACGTGTGCACATTTTTACCATTTCCAGGTGATTCTTTTGTCTGCCACCATGCCTCAGGAGGTGCTGGAGGTGACCTCAAAATTCATGAGAGATCCTATTCGTATCCTAGTTAAGAAGGAAGAGCTGACCCTTGAGGGTATCCGGCAGTTCTACATCAATGTTGAGAAAGAGGTGCGTGGAGAATTTGGGGTTAAGGAATATTTGTATCAAAGCTTAATTTGTCCAAGGTTACAATCATTTGTTACTGAAGTTGTAATGCTGTTTTGTGATGATCCCCATGCGTGTCAACTGATCCCAGACTCCCTGCAGTGCTCAGTGTCTGATG